TATAGGCCTATTAATAGAATAGTTATTAAGTGTAGAAGGTTTTAAGCTTAATATTCCTTACTAAGACACTAAGTTAAGATTCTTTACTAGGGCTCTAGCAGCCTAAATATTAGAAAATATAAGAATATTATTCAAGAATAGTAGGTAAACTAAGAATTCTACGCCTAGGCCTGCCTGTTCTGCAATGTGTGCTTGTTAGCAGGTGCTTTGTTGTGTGCTGTTGCAGCTGCTACGTCGTGTGCTGTTGCAGCTGCAGCTGATACATTGTGTGCTGGCGCAGCTGCAGCTGCTGTGGTGTGCTGTCGCAACTTTAAAACACAAACCTTTAACAAACAAACCTTTAACACTCTATAACTTGCGTTGTAGTAGGCCTATAATAATAATTTTTTGCTTATTTTAAAGCTATAATTTCGCTCCATCTGTACGTAAAATTTTATAATTTTTAAATATTTAATACTAGTGCTAGCAGAACTAAGGGTAGCTATACAATAATATTGCAACATTGTTTTAAGTTTATTAAATATAGGCACTTAGTATTTTAGCTATTAGCAATATTAGCGCAAAATTAGGGCTGTTAGGCGTAAATTAGGGCTGTTGGGGCTGTTAAACAGCCGTTGCACGACCATGCCATGACTGTCAGCAACAGCCAGTCTGGGCCGGATTTCGAAAAACTTTTCCCGATGTACTGTAACAACGCTCTACGAAGCTGCTCTCTTAAGGCTAAGAAGAGGCCCACCCACTCAGCTTATGCAAATTGTACAATCAATACAAAACGCTACTCCTAGCATAGAAGAAGAAAAACTGCAGGACTACAATTTCTGCCCCTGGAACAAGACTATATTATACACAGCAGAGATCTCTAAACTCTCTAAAGAAGAAGAAGCAGAGAAACACAAAACGCAAATGCTACAGAGACTAGGAGACAACCTACTTGCTATCTACACAGACGCCTCTTCTATTAAGAAAGGCACAGGAATAGGAATAGGAGCTACTACTCTAGACTACAAACAGCAGGCTAAAGAAATCTACTCTACTAAATATAATATTAGCAAAGGCTAGATTGTATACAATAGAGAGCTAGAAGGCATAACAAGAGCCTTTAAGTTTGCAGCTTCTGTAGCTATAGCAGGACAAGAGATCTAAGTCTTTGCAGATAACTAGGCAGCTATTCTAAGGCTTTAAAATCCTTCTAATAACCCTAGACAAGCTTAGCAAATCTACTACATAAAGGCAGCAAAGGCAATTCACAGCAAAGTTGCAACTATTAGCCTACACTAGGCCCTAGGACACCTAGATATCGCAGGAAACGAAAAAGCAGACTCCTTAGCAATACAAGCTACAAAAAAGCAAGCAGTATCTAATACCACAAGCCTTGCAATGACAGGTATTAGGATTAAAGTGTAAAGTTGTAAGACTTTGTTCTTATAATCTTTCTCTAGCATATTTCCTTCTTAGGTATAGTGCTATGCTTACCTAAGCATTGCTATTGTAATCTCTAAGAAGAGAGGATTAGAATGGTGTGCTTGCGAAGCCTGTATCTCCTCTCGTTCTTAAGATATGCTGTTCTCTATTTTTAGTAACTAGAAATGTTCTAGACCCTCTGCTTACAAATAGAGTAGCCTACTCTGTAAGATGCTGACGTATACGATTACGCATGCACCTACGTAATCTTGCTTGCATATGCAGCAATACTAAGCATAGATGCAGTAGACCCACCTA